AGATCTATCTGAAAGAGGCTAAACGAACAGCATCAAGTGGAAAGAGTGAAGGCATTTTGCTGAGAAACTCTGAAAGGAAGGGAGATTTCTTAAGCAGATGTCTTTTGTCGACTAGCTGGAAAGAATTTGATCAGGCTAGTGGGACGTAACTCTTTCAGAGGAACAATTTCTCAGGCTGCCTTTTTGACCTCAAACAGCAAGTAAAAGCCCTGACCGCAAACACGTACTGCAGTCCCTCGAATGCATCTTCTAATAAACAGAAGAGCGCACAGACACATGCCGCTAACCCCAAACACGCATCTCCACTGGCCTGGCTGGGCTCCAGAGGCAAGAGCTAAACAACTAGACTCGTGTGGCTTCTATAAATACATCCACAAGCTGGATGTGAACATGCGACTGGGTCGAGAGCTTGGCCAAGGGGCTCCACCGCCGTCATGGGACACAACTGATGTTTGCTGAACAGGCCAAGCGGATGAGAAAAATGGGAGCGGAGCGAACAGAGATCGGACAATAGGCTTGTGCAACTGCAAATAATTCATATAAAACAAGTAAATAATTTCTGCAGGACTAGCAACATCAACTTGTGACAAAAATGAATTCATCTGAATAAATAATCTGGGCTGGGAAAAATATATATTAAAGGGGTCCTATTATGCTGTTTTAAGAAGTCTTGATTCTGTTTTGGGGGTGTACTAGAACATGTTCTCATGCTTGGTGGTTCGAAAAACGCATTATTTTTCACATAATTTACATTACAATACCTTTCTCCCCAGCCCTGGCACAAACAGCTCGATTAGTTCCGGGTTTGATGAAGGCCCGCCTTCCGAAAAACGAAATGTATTGTGATTGGTTAGCTGTCCCAGTGCGTTGTGATAGACGAACAGCTTAGATGGTGTTTCAGTACTGCCACGCCTCTTGCCAAAGCAGCAAGTTCCGTCTGCTCCGGTTTAGTTAAGGATGGCGTCAATATTGCCATATCAATTTGAGCCGGTTTCAGACCCCAAGAATATTGAGCAAGAGGATCGCGCAGAACCTTTGCACACACGGATATGGGCGGACATGGCGAAAACTTGGGGCTACAGCAGCTCTTCTTCTTCTTCGTTTTCTCTGATGCACTAACACTGCAGCAGCACTTCTTCGTCGTCGTCTTGTCTGATGCACTCAACCAAGCGTTCTAACCATGACAACCCCCCTCCCCCCCCCCCCCCCACCCGTCTTTCAGCGTTCTAACCATGACATCGCCCCTCCCCACCCCCCAACCATTCGAATTTCCGTAGGCGGGAATTATTTTAATGATATTCTAATGGGCTGCTTTGTGACATCACTAAACCCCGGAAAACAATGCTGTAGTCCAAACGAGCCGTTCATTGTAGTTCTTGAAAAGGGATTTTTTGAAAACGAAATATCTCCCTTTGGAGCGGACTTTGTAGATCTTTTTTATGCCCAAACATACACACTACACACTGACATTGACACTGCTTAATAGGACCCCTTTAAATATTTCCATTTACATACTTCCCTTTTTACATATACATTTTTCTACATTATTTACATATACATACATTTGTGTGTTTGTGTGTGTGTGAATGCATGTGTGTGTACATATACACATACACACACACACACGTTATATTAATAATTTATAAAATAATTTATTTAAAAAATTTATTTTTAATTAATCATTAAAAAAAATAAAAAGTACATTTTAAAACAATAAGTGTATTATATGTATTAAATTATACAAATAAATTAATTTATAATATTTTATACGTGTGAATTAATAATAAATATATTTAAAATTGTATAAATTTTATAAATATTCTATGTATATAATAAAGTATATCTATATATTAGTATATTAATAATAAACATATTATATAAGTATATTAATATATTTATAATACGAACAGTATATACACACACACATCATACATATACATAAATAAATATATATATATATATATATATATATAAT